GGCGCCTACGAGGCGACAGGAGCATACTGAGCACTGCTCGTGTCACGCGTTCATTGTCCAAGAGGCTCACGCTCATCAACTTCCTGTTTGAGCTGTGGAGCCCAGAGGATGGAGATGAGGAGGAGAAAGAGAGCGCAGAGGCAGAGCTACAGAGGGCGACAGGGAGTAAGAGCAGTGGCGAGATGTTTCAGTCAGAACCAATGAGCCTGGAGTCATTCTTCTCCTGTGTGGAGGAGATCCCGATCAAAATGGAGGCAGGAGAAGCTGGAACAGTGACCCCTGACCCCAATGTTGCGACGGAGATGACAGGAAGCGTAAGCAGTGGCGACAGCATTGAAGTGCTCGGGACGGAGAAGTCTTATCGGTCGCAGCATGACGTCGCTGGATCTGACAGCAGAGGTATGAAACAATTAGAGGATGATTTGAGTTGAATATCTTTGGGTTTGGGGGCTGGTGGTGGCTGGGATATGATCCCTTTGTTCACACATTTCACAGACTACATTGAACATAAAATAATAATTAATAGCAATCATAACTAACAGTGCAAAATTAACCACCAGAGCTTGTAATGTCAGTGTTTGTTAGCTGAATCCAGTAGAGTGCCGACATGATTAGTTAGGTAATAGGTTGACAGAAAAGCGGTCAACCACTCTTTTCATAATTTATTAATCCTTTATGTCAAACAATTGTGATGAACATTATTCTCTATTTTGTGACATTTAGATTAAATGATATATTCATTTAAAAAAAAGAATCCACAGATTAATCACATTAATAACAGTATAAACATTCTCACAACAGGACCAGCTGACAGATCGTTCTCTTCAACAGAAACACAGGTTGGGATGACGGACGCGTCTTACAGACGAGCTGCAGTAGAGGCGGGCTCTAGACGCGTGCGAGCGTACGCCAGACGAGCCAACAGCGAGGACAGCATCGAGGTACTCAGTACGACTGAGTCCATCTTTCCTGACGACCTCACTGCCATCACGGAGGAAGAAACAGAGCACCAACCTCTGAGTAACGGCTTTGAGAATGAGAATGAGATACAGTGTGAATCTGACAATGTCCTCAAAGAGGGAGAGACGTTGAACGCAACAATGTCAGTAAGTGAGGGCGTAAAAGGAGCGCCTGTTCAGGAAGGTGACGGTCGTGCTGACAGAGAAGAATCCTTAAAGCAAATGACTGCCAGTGGTGAGGTTATAATGAGAGAGGAGCAGGTCACTGAGTGTTTGAAGAGCAATCAAGTCCCTGAAGACAAACCTGAGAAGACGTCCAGACTTCTGAAAGGTAATAAATCTGTTACAATGTTTAAACACAATTTAAGACTCCACACTAATTTGGCTAATTTCGAAGAATGTTTAGTACAAATAGTGAACAAGGAGTTAAACTTGAATGGCAGCTGACGACAGCAGCCAGTCAGTGAACAAAGCTGAGGTTGTCACTGGTTTCTAAAGTGGAAGAAATTATTTCTTATTTTCCTTAAGAAATAGGCTGTTCAGCAACTGAACCAATGGCTGTTTGTTGAGGTGTAGGAGTTTAGAGAGGAGAGTCCTTCCCTAACAGCCCAGCTGAGATCAGTCGGTCTCAATAGCAAATGATGCACTCAATATTGATATACACAGTCATTTATTTCACGCAGTAAATTAGTTGGTTATTAATTACAGATAGAAACTATTTGCAGTTATACTGTGATGGATGTTTACAACAGTCTGATCCTCTGACTGCTCATGTTCTTCCCCTGTTGGTGTTGCTGCATATAAGAATCTCAGTGAAAACATCAGTAAAATTGAATTATAAGTGACAGAAATGAGGGACAAAGCTGCAAAAATAACACCCACGTTGTAACATATCCTCATTTGCACATAGTAAAACTGTTCTGTTATTAGTTGAAGAAGCAGTGGAGTCGACGCCTCAGTGGCCTGCGGTCTGTCCGACGGTGCAGTCGGTGCCTGACCTTCACGTGAACTTCGCTCCTCCTGTTGCCGTGGCTGAGGTTGAGCGGTGGTCTCCGCCCTGTGCTCCTCTCAGGCTGCTGAGTATCGATGAGGCGTCTGACTGCGCTAGCTTCACTGGATCCACAGACACGCCCTCTCCCTCTCTAAATATCCACAGCAGCACCCGCTTGGATAAGAGGAGGAGGAGGAGGAAGGCTGGACTCAGAGCCCTCAGGTTTCTCAAACAGAACTCGTTCTCCCAGCATGCCGTGTTTTGTCTCCTGAGCGGCCGGCCGCTGGTTGTCATCGGAGGAGACGAGAGTTTGGTCAGAAAACTGGTGGACGCTCTGAGCCTCTTCCTGCCTGCTCCTGGTCCTGATGGAAATGCTGTCATGGCGTGTTTGACGATGCCACTTCAACTGGCCGACCTGCTCACCTGGAGGCTGATAGGAATACACAGGTACTACAAATTGTTTTTGTTTCATTACAAAACTATTTTGTATGTCGAGATGCCCTGTTATATTTTCTTGATTGCTTGCTTTTATTTAACTGGGCCTTTGTAAACTGGCCGTACAGAGAATAACAGAAATACTTCACACTTAGTATCCACGTAGTAAATACCAGTGTAGGAGAAATTCTTCCAAAATATTGAGAGTTGCTAGTTCTCTGAAAAATTACAAACCCAGTGTGATGAATCAAGTCCCTTTATTCATGCAGCATAGAGGGAAGACCTCAGCATAGATGTTCTCTCTCTACTTCCAGAATGATCTGCCTTCAATACTATCCAGTACATCCAAGAACCCCTGGTGACTTATTAACAGTACCGCTGTAAATCACATGCAAAGGTTTTAGATCTTCAACCCAAATGTTTCTTTGATCTGACCGTGTGACTGTAAACTGATTCTTACCAGACGTCCTCCTACCATAAAAAATTTACTACCCCGTCTAAAACATTTATCTCCCACGCCAGTGTGATGTGATGATTGTGTTGGTTCACCTTCCCCGGAGTCTGCCATGTTGAACCACCATGTTTCTATCACAGCCACTGTAGTTTCTCCTTCACATGATTGTGAAGTAAGAGTTGCAATCTCAACTTCACTGCTAGATTCCACTAATTCGTAAACACTGGTCCTTTAATGTCCATTAGAAAATAACATACCAAAACAAGAAAGAAAAAGTAGAGATTTACCAAGGCTGACTGAAAGTCACTTAATGCAACAACTACTACAAACTATGGCATCAAAATGTTAAATGAACACCTCTCATATTCAGGGGGAAAAATCTTGAATTACACCAAACTGCAGGGCTACTGTGTATGTTTACTGCTTTAATAGGTATTTTTATATTGACAAAGGGTGGAATTATTATGTGTAATGTGAAAGCTGTCGCTACCTCCACAGTTTCCCTCAGATCTATTTTAGTGTCTTTTTTAAGGTGGTGGTTCACTCACTGCTCTGATCGTCATCATTTCCACCTGCAGTCAGCTGTTGTCAGTGAAAGCTTTAATATTCTGACTGTACGCGACCTGCTCAGCACCAAACAGCAGACATACTGTTATTAGCAATTAGCAGCTAAAGAGCCAGATCTTTCCCTCAGGAGCTGGTGGTGGAGACCAAAACAGAGTGTATTGAACTACAGCAGAAATGCAACCACAAATAAATCCTTATTTTGCCCCGTATCTGTAACCAACCGTTTATGCTTAAAGCAGAAAAACGTTCTGAGACAATAATAGGAGCAAATGAAAACTAATTAACTCTGTTCTGTTCTGACACTGACAGATCACACTCCAGCTCTTCGGCCATCATCCTTCACTCTCTGACTCGCTACAGTCGTTACTTGTCCCTGTTGGACCTGGACCAGAGGACGCTGCACTGTCCGCCATACTCCGGCTCTCTCATCAGCAGACTGGCCGACCCTCACACTGGCATCACCCGAGGTATCACCTACCTGCTGCACCTGGAGAGCTGCCTGACCGCGCTGGCCAACCAGGTTCTGCTGTACACGTTCAATCCTGCTTATCAACGTCCAAAGACCGCTGGAGGGAAGGACACTGCGGAGAAAGACGAGTCCCTGTCCACTCGAGGATTCTGCAGCAGTGAGAGCGATTTGAAAGTGATGAACTTCCTGTCTGACCTCATCAAACAGCACCACGCAGGACGTGGACCACCGGTTTTAAGATTTTCTTACTGTTCGGCGCATCTGCACAAAAACACGTATGCAACATGAACACTGGATGAACAAAAACAATGGACTAGGTGCACTGATTTCTCTAGAATATTGATTGATGCAGAGTTGAGTTCTCTGCCAGTGTGAACATGTTAAAACATGAAGAAGAGTCACACTTATGTGGTTTTATCTGCAGTGTTAAATGTGTGTGTGCGTGTGTGTGTGTGTGTGTGCGTGCGTGCGTGTGCATGATTTTTACTCCATGATGCTGTAGGTTGTTTATCTCTGGATTACTGGACACAAATGCACTGGTGACTCTCACATGCTGGCAGCCTTTACAGCTGAAGTGCTGGACTTTTTTTTTTTTTTTCGTGTGTGTCTGTGTGTGTTTAAAATGACTTATTGCTGGATCACATGTGAACTTTTAAGATATTTGAGCCACATATGAACACTATCATTTAAGGATTGTAGTTTGTGGATCTCGGTGGTCAAGAACTACATGGACTTGTAATTATTTGCTTTTACACACACACCATTTTTAACCTTTGACCTCTCAGGGTTTCTGCCAGCTGTAAACCATTTTAATATGACTGCTCTCATAAAACATTTTCATGTTTTCAATGATTGTAAACAAGAAAACTGTTGAGTTCTTTTTAGATTTTTTTACTTTTATTTCACAAATTCATGAAGAAAGTCAAAATCTATTGATGGGAATAGACTACAACTTCCCCTCAGTCGACTTCCAATATCACAGGCTCCTTGTTTTACTGTACTTTAATGTTTGTTACTCTGTTGATGCAAATATGAGCCGATTTTAGTGTGTGCACATTTACTCTGAAAATAAAGTCATATATTTTACATTGGGATTCTGATTTAATCAAAGCAATAATGCAACAATCCAGACCAACCAACACTTTATTTTTTCATACCGTGGCCAAACCACTTTATAAAATAGTATCTCTTTCAGTTTATTCAACATTACATAATTGCCTCATATGAGCATTTTATAACAACCGTGGATATAAAGTATTTCCAGGAAGAACACAAACACCACTGTTAAATTTGAAAATCCTATAGTGCAGTTAAACTTCCAGTTCAGATCCAGATCAAGTCCTTGAATGAACGAATGAAGCAACATAAAGTGTCTCTATAATGTAATTTAGATACAACAATGAGGAAGTCTTCATCTGTGTATTGACACCTGCTTTGTCCATGAAAACTCAGACAAACACATTCATTCGTCCAGCTCTCCACGGTACTCCACCCAGTGTAGAGGCAAGAGTGCTGCGACCTCCACCAGGACCATCAGCGTGGACGACAGCTACAACCACCAAGGAAAGAAAAAAGAAAAATGTTAACGCATGCTAGCTGTTGGAAGCTTTTGTTTAAGGCTTAATATCAAATGTTTTAAATTAATGCATCACTCATCTTGAGACACTTACAGTTTGGTTGTTTTTTGTGCAAACAAAGCGTTTAATGCGAGAGAGAATCAGCCCTGAGGGGAGGAAGAAAATACTGTTACGACACATTCACACAACAATTAGGAACAATCTACCTGTTCTCTCAATGTGAAGTACAACAAAGCTACCCTACTACAGGGGAAATATCCAGTTTCCAACATATTTTGAACTACTTTGGGGAAAAAAAGGGATCAAATTAACTATATTTGATTGAATGTATGTGATATAAAATAATATATATGAAAAAAAAAAAAAAAGCCACTCAGTTGAGTTTATTGCATAAGGTGCCCCGTTGTAACAGTAATACATAAACCAAAAACACAGAAAAACCCCTATTAATGGGAAATAAAAAAGGTTTTGTCGGTGGAGTTTATCAGTGTCATGTTTGTGCTGAAGTATGGCCATGGGGATTCTTCCTCAGGCTGAGATTTGGGAGGTTTATCCACGATGTCGCTGTGTGAGCACATTCATTACACAACGTTCAAGTGGTGCCTGATGATTTATTGCCTTGGCGAGCCTTCACAGCTGGGACACTGAAAGTCAGTCAGAGTCGGGGCCGCTGAGAGAAAGTCGGTCTGTATAATAACATTGTTTTTGTAGTTTTTGCATTAATTTGAATGGTCAGGATAATTTATAGCCTCTTTAATAGTCATCAATAACATTTACTACACCTTTTGCTGGTGGCAAAAGGCAAAGGGAGAAGACAAATCTGTTTTACAGCTGTTAATGAGCATTATATTGTGTACATATTACATATTTGTAAGGCCTAAATGTTTCACATGATGTATTTTAATGACATGACACTCAAACATCCACAAGGTGCCTTAATTTACAGTTAGCTTTGAAAGAGAAATATTTGTTACCCATCGTTGGAAAGAAAGAGACACTATAGATTCTTTAAAAGCTGATTCTAAATTTAAAAAAAAGAAAGAGAAAGTGAGTGGACTTACAGCTGACATCGCAACACTTGTGAGAAGTAGAGCCTAACAGCCTCTGGACTGCCTATGGGAGGAAACAGGAGGTTAAATCAGCATCGTAACGTTCAGGTCACACTGAAGGATCACCGCAGAGTGACAGAGCAACTTACAGCAGGTGCACCATCACCGCCACATCAGGAGAGGTCACAGAAAACAAGATCAGACCCACAGACTATCTTTAGGAAGGAAAATAGAAACTCTAATGTGATCTTTTCTAGCTCAAACCTTTCTTCTTTTGTTGCAGCAAGTTATAAATTAAATATGACTCACTGGTTCTCTATTAAAGAAGACTGTGGGGGTACAACGGTGCCAAGAAAGGGTAGCAAGTTATCCCCATCTGACAGAGACAGAAACAAAGACACAGTATGTTTTGTGGCTGTGTTGTACATCAAAAGCAGATTGTTTCTGTACACAAGAGTTGTTTCATCTTCATTCACAGATACAGTGAAGAGTTTCTTTCACCACAAGCATGCACCAGGACGTACATGGACACCACAAGGGAAGTGGTGACGTTACACAAATCTCTGCTGACTGCAGAGAGCAGCAGGTTAAAATGATTTTGACAATGAAAACCTGATGCTTTGTAATAAAGGCAGATGTGAGGATTATTATTACTATTATTAAATGTCAAGTGGAATTATTATAACTTGAATTTAATGTGAATGACATTTACGAGACAGACTTGTAATTACAATAACTGAGATAAACCTAGAGGAATGTAAGGAGTTCGGTCTAGACCTGCTCTATTTGAAAAGTGTCCTGAGGTAACTTCTGTTATGAATTGAATATTCAAGTTCTGTACATAAGTACAGTTAATAATAAAATGTTGTACTTTTTACTCCACACTACATTTATTTGACAGCTTTAGTTAGATAAAAACACATGATACGCTTAAAATACTACATTTTGTTGCTTTATCTGCAACTTTATCAGAATTAAGTTTCTAATTCTTTCCTGCCCTATTTATTATCTCACAACCCCACAAATTTATATTGTGATTCTTTGGAGGGGACCCGACCCCTGGGGCAGGAACCACCGGACTAAACTAACCAACTCAATATAAAGTAGCTAAAACTAGCTGCAACTCGACGAGCTACATTAAAATGCTGCTCATACATTGATGCGTCAGTATCATCAATATGATTATATAACTATATGTACTTAAGCAGGATTATGAATGCAGTACCTTTACTTATAACAGTATTTTACACTGTTGTATTGGTTCCCTTACTTCTGTAAAAGATCTGCATACTTCTTCCACCACTGTGAGTAATTAAGAGAATTTCTGAGTGTTGTCCTACTGATAACACCTCATTTTAAGGATGATGAAGAGACGATGCCCACACACCTGTTGTGTTTTCCAACTCCTGTGTGACCTCCTGTAGGAAGGAGCTGAGGCGTTCTGCACTCGAGGACAAACTGTCCCACAGCCACTCGAGAGCCCACACATTCTCCTGAGAGACACAGAAATGTTATTGAATAAAATCTCTAAATCCTCATTTCAGCCTTGCTGCTCCTCCGCACATATTCACGAAATCAATGAGTCAAATTTTCTTCTCTCATGAGAGGTCATTCATGTTATTTCAGCCATTGAAGTATATGGAAACATAGAAACTGTGGACTAAATGTCTAAAAACATGATTTGAGAGAGGAACAAGACATTACCTTAAACGTATTGAGCACAGGGAGGGCTGGACTCAGAGCAGAATTAAGGATTCTTAAACCTAAAGCCCCTGTTACCAACAGCAACAAGGCCTGATCTGGGTACACCTGTAAACACAAACACAAATACATTAAACACACGATGACCTTACCCACTTGTAACAGCCCTGGGTTTGAGTGTACATGTGTAGATCATAACATACGTACCTCTTGAAAGAATCGAGGTATCTGTATGTTCGACGAGGGTTCCTTGGGCAGTATCGAATTTACAACATTCTTTGCTTCCTGAAGAAAATACAGAATTAAAATAACTACCAAGAAAAACAGATGGAAGATTATATATGCAGTATATATACAAAAGAGTTTTTAATAGAGAAGAAATACATACGTGTAGAAACTGTGGGCTCGGTGCTGGTATAGCGGTAAGTGAACCACGAGGTGCGTTGACGACTGTGAGTAAAGTGGTCCAACACTGAGACTGGAGCAGAAAGGTATCAGACGTACAATCACACACTAAACAAGGCAAACTGGTATTTATGGAACACAGTTCATACACATAGTGAGGGAAATCAATTCACAATCACTTTGTCTCAAAATGCACAAAGGTAAAGTGTGTGACCAGCCAAACACAATTCAAACATCTCACAACACATTCACCGTTGTTACACAGTATGTTTAACATCAATTTTAGTGTTTCCTGTTAGTCAGTGCGGTGACGTTAAGTTTAACAAATTGTTTCTGCCCCACAATCCTCTGAGGAAGACAAGACAGAAAACTATCACAGTAGTCTGTTTTTAAGTCTGATTTCCATAAGTATTTTATTTTTGAAATAGCTGCAAGCTCCAACATTTTGGGACCATGTTAGAAATAAACCTTTTCACTTTAATGTGTTATTTTTTTTTTGTCCTTTCTTTGCTGTGTCTGATAATCCATAAATAAAATCAATTAAAGTCTGTTTTTAAGACTACAACAAGTCTGTACAAGTCTGATTTTAATAATGATGTTCTTTTCAATTCAATCTGTTGTCGATGAGTGTTGTAGACTTACATCAGTAAAGACAGCAGAGCAGCACCTCTGAACCCTGAGAGCAAACTTCACCTGCACATCACGCGGTAGCGGCACAGCACCTACAGAGAGCAGAGAGTTTGACTTTTTATATTAAAATCTGTATTTTTAAAAAAGGCGTTATAAGTGAAAACCTATAATCTATCCATGGCTGACCTTTAATTGGCTCCCACGCTGCGTTCGAGTAGCAGAGCTGTGCTGGCTGACTAACCACCAGCTTTGGCGCTGTTGCTGTTTCAAAGATGGAGAGATAAAAATGGAAGAGAGGTGGAGTGAAGCGGGAGGCGGGCGCGCTCACTGAGGTGAACAAACTGTGCAGAGCGGACGTAAAGTCTCCCTCCATGCACAGGAAGAAAGGGATGAGGTCTCGTACCTGCTGGAGGCTACCGGAGAGACAAAACAAATGCAGCCTGTCAACAACTTCATGTCACCAACCAGGACTAAATAATAGATACATGTATGCATTTATTATTTATTTGAAATGTTTTAGCTGTAATAATTACTTTCTATTAAATCAGGGGTATGTAAATATCAGTCATTTAAAAAAAAGCAATTTTAAATGATGGAAACTGAAACAGAGGAACATTTTGATTTTTTCTTCCTCTTTTCAGGCAAAGATATATAATTTATTAAACTGCCCAGGGAACGTATCTGATTGATTCAAATTAGGAGCAATCGGTTTGGTTATACATGTTTTAAGGCCATTGATCCTGGTATTAAATATGAACTTTGATCAAGTTGAATGGTAAATACTAAATAAAAGTTACGTTGGGAAAACATTGTGCTACCACACAGCCAATAGTTGAGACATTAAAGCAGAAATAGAATAAGGGAGTTTCACATTCACTGTAAATGAACTGTAATAGAGTCTATATCACATACTCTAGCTTTAGTAACATTATTGATCACAAATAATTACAGTACAATCAGGGTTCAAAGTTATTTTTTTACCGGCCATAAAATGGTTGTAATGGTTTTAAGCTTCATATTTTGGGGCTAGTGCATCGTCCAGACGCCACCTCTCACCAAAACGCTGACCTCCGGGACCTTTTCTTTACATCTCCATGTTTTCTTTTTCGGTGGTTTATCCCTGGCAATGTGTCCAATAACATCTCTAATAACTTGTGAGGCAGATGTTTCTTATGGAGCTGCTTTGATTTGTGATTACTGACAAAAGGTACGGTGGAAAGTGACGATCACATTAGTCTCAGTCTCTTTTCTCTCCGCACTAAACATTTTCATACTCAGTGTTGGATCAATGCTGACTCTTCAAAAAAGACACAATCCAAGTGAAATACATGATTAAACCTAAATCTCACTTAATTATAGCAGAAAGGGAATTTCAGTTCAGTCCGTTAAATATTAATATTATTTGAACACTCACAGGTTGGAATCATCAGCCAGGACGACTCGCAGGTAACGACACAATTCTCTGTACCTGCAAACAGTGATAACACAGCCAGGTTTTGTTTTATAGGGAGTTGTAAAAGACAAGTGTGTGTGTGTGTGTGTCTGTCTAATGTATATAAGTGTGAAAGTGTGTGTGTATCCATTTTGTACCTGCGCTGTTGCTGCAGTACTTCTGTTCTCAGCAGAACTATAGAAATTTGTTCAGTCAGGATGTCTTTCTTGCCTTTGTCTTTGCGGACGCCCGACACATTCTGCCCCTTCAGCACAGACACCAGCAGGACATCATCCCAAGGACGGACACACAGGCTGAAGTGTGCACACACACACACACACACACACACACACACACACACACACACACACAAAGTTATAATAATACACAAAAAGGCTTCAAATGTGCAACCTAAAAGGGAAATACACACAAGCTCTTATGAACTGTTGTCTTGCAGGGAATTTGAACACACACCTACACCCACCTACACCCACCTACACCCACACCCACACCCACACACACACACACACACACACACACCTGTTCCTCAGGCTCTTCAGCTCAGAGGGGAAGAGGAGTTTCTTGTAAAAATCTTGCAATTTGAAGCTGAACTCTGTGGTAAAATCAGCCGTCACCATCTGTCTCTGCATGGATGATATTACCCTGAAAAACCCCAACAACACACAGAAGAAGGTAAATATGTAAATAAAGGAGTTACAGACAAGACACAAGATAAGTGTGTGTGTGTGTGTGTGTGTGTGTGCACACGTACCTCTGCAGTAACACCACTTTAGCATCAGCAACATTAGCCATGGGAGACTTTAAGATGAAATTCCTGTAGAGAATCATATTAAATGAGGGAAATTAATACACACAAAAAATTTAAGACAACTGTTGACTGAGTGACAACAATCTAGAAAAGGAAATGCTACTTTGGCTTTTGTGTGTGTATGTGTGTGTGTGTGTGTGTGTGTACCCTGAGAGTTGAATATGTCGGATGAAGTAATCAGTGGCTCCCAGTCTCATGATGGCAGCAGCTCTGCCGTCCTGTTTATCTGCCTCGTCCAGGAATGATGACACAAGCTCGTACACAGGTGTGTAACTGAAAAAGAGAATATTTAAATGAAACTAAAATGCCACTTTGCATTTGTTAACAGTGTCAGTTTTTGTAATAAAACATCATATTAAGTTGAGTACAGACTAGTAAAAATGCCACTGCGTCAATCTTGGATTTAACCTTGGTGGTGTATTTTTTTTATCCACGTTATCTCTGGAGATGGTAAGATTAGTCTAGTTTTAGTACTCTTTTAACATCTTTATGAACAGCTCTGCTCTGTCACTCACTCGTAGATGAAGGCTTGCTGGTTCGGTAGGCTCAGACCGTATTCCTCTAAGTTCTTTCCCTCCATGAAGGAAGAAAACCTTGCAGCGAGCTCTTGTTTGAAGCGCTGCAGCATCGTCTCTGGACAAGAAGAACATAAATCCAACAGCAGTGAAATCACGTGTAACTACCAGTCAAACAGTGAGTTGTTTTCCAAATGTGAATGATGTTTATAGCCACACGTGTGTGCGAGAGCAAGTACCTGCAAGTCGAAGGTGAGCATCCATTTCAGATAGTGTGAGGTTGAAAGACTGCAGTTCTCCCAGCAGCGCGCCGTTTCTGAGGTTGTTCCAGAACATGCTCCTCTTGTGGCTGTTGCAGTGACACACTCCCCTGTGAAACCACATTACACACTGAACACACACACAAACACACAACAACAACAACATTAATGCAGCTCTAAGTGATTTATTTCTTAACAAGAAAAAACAACTTGAAATGATCGTCTAAATATGAACGTTAATAAATGTAATATTATTCAAATATAAGATCGACAAGTAACAGTTTCATGTCAAAAATAATTATATAAATGTGGCGAAAATCAGACCTGTAATAAATATAAAAGATGTCTTATAAGCTTATAATGTACAGATTTTTGTTGAAAATAAATCAAGACATACAGCTGCGATTCAGTAACTCGTTATCACGACAGCACTGACACTAATGATTTATCACATCTCTTTAACTGCCTCTAAAAAGGCGTTTGTGAAGGAGAAAACCTCCAGTTCCACAAAATTTCATGGACAGCTGAGATTCAACAACGTACCGAGGAGTAGACAAGAGTTATTTTAAACCAACAGCAACATAAATGCATGAACCACACTTCAATTCAAACAGCTGTGAACTGGTAAAAGTCAGAGCAGCTCAGAGAGAAAATATTATTACATTTTCTTCACTTATAAAAGACAACAAACATTAGTCAACATTTCTGTAAAATGAGCGAGTCTGTTGGCTGGTCCAGTGAAACCAATTAAAGTCTGCAGTAAAGGAGGGAAACATCTGCTTCGGTATAACTATACAACAGAGTATTCATTTGTTGTTGTTTGATTAGATACCACAAAAGTGAGTAAAAAACTCAACTAAATAATAAAAGCATAACAAAAGGTAGCATTCACTGCAGGGTGCTTGCATTGGGCTGAACTGTATTGTAAAGGTGTTACTGTTATAGTTATTACGTTATAACGCTGCTGCTTCTGGCTGCTCAGCAAAGTTTCTCCTCATTAACTTTAAAAATGACAAGTGACAAAAAGAAATCTGGTAAAAATGCTTCTGGTTCCTATGGCGACTTGTGGTGACGATGCACAGTTTGGCGAGTTCACACATCACAAATTAAATCTGAAAAGTGTGTAGTGAATCCAACAAGACTAAAATAACTACACCCTTTTTATGTTTATCTATACACACGTTTGGGAATATTTGATGCGTCTGTGTTTGTTTGCGTTCTATCCCTGAAGGTAAGTCCGTGTGGCTGTGTGTACAGTTCACAGACTACATCCATAATCAATACATACTGTTGACGCCAGCTTGTCGCAGATGTAGCAAAAGCACTGATCACAGATGAGCTGGTTACCGGCCACAGGACCAATGGTCTCATCATCTGTAGCTCTGAGCAGGACAGAAGAGAAGCAAAGTGTGATTGATCTCAACTTGAAGGGCATAAAAGTATTGATCAGTACTTCACAATGTGTGTGTGTGTGTGAGGCAATCAGCTCACGTGAATGGATGTATGGGACAGTCGTAGCGAGCGTGAGGCAGCACCTCAGCCCGGCGGGAGAAGGTAACAACCAGGTCTTCATCCAGAGCACTGGAGGTTAAAGGACAGTCTGAAACAGAGAGGAAGAGCAGCTGGTGACTGTTTATAACATCATCTACCCACACATACAGGCAGGTTGGTGCAAAGCAAACACAGCTGGTACCATTTTTCTTCACATCTTCAACCTCCACGATGAGAACTGAGGGTTCACTGCAGGTTATGTCATCTTCATCATCATCATCATCACTGAGGATGATTATTTCTTCATTATCCACCTTTGTACACATCAGAAAGCCCTAGAGCGAAGAAAAGGGAAAGAAAGAGGAGCAATAAACTCACAGATACTCATCCAGTTTGTGAGGGGTTTTGGGAGGAGACCGAGTTTATGTCAGTTCAATTTAAAAGGACACGCCTGTATTGTTATTCTCCAGCGACAACTTCCCAAAAACAAACCAAACCACATGACTTTTTTCTCACTTTTAAGAAGCTAGCTAGCATTCCCCACGGCAGGAAACAAAGTTAAAGACAGTCGGTTTGTTATTGTTTGTAAGTTTTTTACTGTAAAATAAAGTACCCCGATTTAAATGTGTTAACATTAGTGTTGCGAGAGACATAATTCTTACCTTTTTTTTTCCCGTTTAACCAAAATAAATGTTGTTTTTTTTTTATGGCGCCCACCGGACTCAAACGTGAGCATCAACCGGATGTCACATCCTTTCTTCTTCTTCTTCTTCTTTCTCCTCTTTAATAGCGGTCGACAAACCAGTTTATAGGTGTATTACCGCCACCCAGCGGACTACTGCGTGGAGCAGCGGATAAATACATGAAGGCAAAAAAAATATTAACTATAAATTAAAATAAATTATAAAAATAAAATATATATTTTAGATTTTATTTGTCAGCCAATGTTGCATGAGCAAATATAACTCCCTGATCATCTATTTAAAACTTCTTTGGGACTTATTTCTTATTTACTTTTTCTGATAACATGTTCTGCTGAGTCCCCTTTTAGGGAATGCTTCCTGTTAAATGCAAAGTTTTCATTAGTTTGTTTCCCCCCCACTTCTTCCTTAAGGCTTTACAGCACCTTATTGTACTCCTGCCATCCTGTTTCTTTTTAAAATGGTCTCTTTAGTCCATTTCCTTCAATGCAATAAAGTAATTTGAGGATTGTTATTTATCTGAAAATGTAATACTTGCTAATGCCCCATCAATACGTTTTTTTTTCTATCTGAATGTTCCTGACAATAATCATCCAGAGAAGCAGTCGTAAAGGCCCAGCATTAGTTCAATCAGTTTATCCTCTCCCTGTTAAATAGTAAACCCATCAGACAATAGTCTAATAATACGCTCCAAAAACAGCGAGGACGGTAGAGAAATGAACAAATGTTGTTTATGATATGAATTCTCAGTCATTTTTGACAACAAAATGAATAAATTAATGACATAATCTGACACACCTCATTGTCCAGTGAACTTTTAAATATCTGTCATTATATAAATTCAGTAATAGTAAAGACCACTCGATAATGTGCATGTGATTGTTCATTACTACTACACTCACAAACTCATTGTTCACTATAAAATGATTACAATAAATAAAATATAATGCAATAGACAACCGAGATGGAGTTAAATGTCTCAACAGTCACGTACTGAAACATATATTTTATTTAATTGGAATATAAATTACAATAACACTGATCTTTTGAGAAAAATGCATCTGTAATAAGTTAACTGACAGAAGTCCAAAGTCGACACTCAGGGTAACACAGGTGAATGTCAACAGACCAACAGAGGATCAACGAGAGAAATCTGAGATATGTTCCAGAGTGCTGTTACAGCACAGCACCGCTCTTCTTGTCCTTGTTACGAGAATTATATGTCCCCGCTGCGGCTCTCTTGTTCCTTTGGCTCTCTGTCGGTCCCTCTTTAGCTTCTGTTCTCAGCCCTGCAGTGTCCTCCTCCGCCTGCTCGTCCTCAGCGCTATGAGCAGGCGTGATTCTCAGCCACTGCTGGTAGTAACCACGGAAACCATCGATGTGGACCAGATAGTTGTTTCTGGACTTGTACTGGGATCGAAAGATAGTGGGGCAAAATAAAGAGGGGGAACAAAAAACAAGAATCAGTAAAGAAACCTGTTTTTTATCTGGTTTAAGTCCAGTGTGTAACATTAAAGAGGATCTATTTTATATAATACTCATAGGTATGTTTTCATTAGTGTATAATAACCTGAATATAGGAATCTGTTTTTATCATATTATTATCTATATTTTTTATTAACAGACACAGCGGGTCGCCCTCCATAAAGTCCACCATGTTTCTACAGTAGCTCCAAACAGGAAAACCAAACACTGGCTCCAGATAGGGTCTGTTGCACCGTAGTTTCTCCTACACACTTCACAGCCCGTTCTCATTCCCAGGTTGTCAAATACGGACGCCAGCAATGAAACTTCACCAGTAGATGCCACTAAATCCTACACACTTGTCCTTTAAAACAAAGTATGACTTTTATCAGTGTCTTTTTTTTTTTTTTAAAGCTACATTCGCTCATTTTTTGACCACTTGGATGAATGTGCTGAAAACATTGACATATTATCATCATATAAACTTATTATGTCTAACTGAAAAACAACTGTCTGCTGGGGCAACAGTCAGGGTTGACAAGTGATCACAATGTACACCTCCCTATCCACACATATTATACTGAAAAGGTTGTGTGTATGTGCTGGATGGTTCCTCCACACTAGTTGAAACTCCTCCCGTTCTCGTGTACGTGCACTCACCTGGTCGTAGCTGGGAGGATATTGTGAGGCGAACTCCAGCTGTCTGATGATGACCTCATTAGGCCACACCTCCATGCCGCTCATGGTTTGGAGGAGTGTTTTAAGGTAGACGTAATCCAGTCTTCGAGCTGCTCGGCCAATCAGAGCAGAGAATACATGGACGTTAGGTTTAAGTCCCGCCTCCTGCAAAAAAAAAAAACACACGTAAAGATGAAATCAAGTCATAATATTGGTCTTCTACTGGTACTACTACTGCTCTTAATACGATTACAGCTCATATTATAGTAGTGTTTCTATACAATCCTCGATTATAACGAGCAAGTTCTAAATTTAACATCTATTCAGTCTTTTAGGATGCGTTTCCTCACCTTCATGTCTTTCAGCAGCTGCAGGCCGTCATTCTGTCGCTTACAGGCTAAAGCGAGGCATCCAAACGTCTGCACATCCACTTTTACTTTGCGCTGTTGCATCACACTCAACACAGCCTGTAAAGAGAACGAGCTGCATGAAAAATACGCACACTTCAACAAAGTCACAAAACACTTTCTCACTTACATCCAGAGCGATATAGTGGTGCAGATACATGTTTTACATCTTATTTTCTGTGTGTGTGTGTGTGTGTGTGTGTGTGTGTGTGTATACCTTTGCCCCGTCCAGGTCATTAGCTTTGGCTGCTCTTTGAATCCCAGAGTTAAAGAACACAACATCCAGCTTCACTTTATGCTGCTTGGCGACCTTCAGCAGCAGCTGCAGAGACTCCTGGCCCGGGTCCATCATGTTGGCCAGCAGGGTCAGAGTTCTGAGGTCTGGACTGAGTTTGCTGGCTTCCATCTTCTCCAGGAAACCTTTAGCTCCTCCGAGGAGAGCGAGCCTATCTGACGCTCCGTCCACAGTGCCAAAGGAGACCACACCGCCCCTGTTACCCTCAAAAAGGTCCAGTAGGTTGGGGGCTTTAGAATCATCCGCTACGTCTACAGGCAGTGAGACGGTTTGTCTGACTGGTATCAAAGCGGTCGAGTCTCGTCCCCTGGAGGACTTGTCCTCACTGTCTCTGCCGTCCTGCTGTCTGTCACTTAGCGGATCATGTTGGATAAACAACTGCCTCTCCAGATGGTCAATGTCTATTACACTCTTGCGTCCCGACTTTACACGTGATGCATGTTCCCTCTCGTACTTCTGGTCAAGCTTCAGCAGCACGTCAGTGGCCAGGGCTGGATCGCCGATCCCACAATCCCTTGCAGTTCGCAACAGCAGGTTATAGTTTTTTGAGTCTGGCATAATCCCTGACCTCAACATCTGGCGCCAAACCTGAAACAAAAACACTCAACTCTCAAAATTGCACCTTTTGTAAAATCAGTTGAAGCAGACAGCGTATTCACAAACATCGGCTGCCCCCAAACACGTAAGAGAGCCCAAACACATATACATATGGTTTCATGTGTACGTACAGCTGAGTAAAGGCTCTTTCAACGTGGTCCAGGACACATTGTGTACACACTACTAAACGAATGTGGTCACATACGGCTCAGACCACCTCCCAATGTTGTCTTAGTGATTGAATCTGAATGCATTTTAGTGCATTTACATGTTAATACCAAGTTTAAACAGGGCCTAAGTTTAAAGGGACCTTAACTCTCAAAAATATTCCATACCAATGTAGTTTGGTGCCTCTGAATCATGTCTCTACCTGTAAAGCCAATCTGAATCCTGTTTGTTTGTCCTTTAAACAGCCCATCAGCAGGTAGTGAAACGTCTCCTGATTTACAGCGTGGCCGCTCTGCAGCATCTCCTACAAACGCACAAAACAAAACCTCATGTAGAAACACAAACCTAACACAATTCGGTCGACCATTCCCACTTCCACACGTCCATACAAACGTCAGCCCACATGTCATACCCTGACTGTGTGAATACAGGCTTGAAGGTGGTTGGCGATGGCGTGCGTCTTGAGAAGGGCGTGGTACGTGATGGTGCTGAGGGGGTAGTTCTTGCGACGGAGCTCCTGCTCCAACTTCAACGCTTGCTGGAGGCCGGCTTGTCTGGATCGTGACTCGGCGCAGGAATTGAACAGCGCAGTGTAGGTAGCGTCTGAAGCCTCTAGGCCTCGCTTTTTCATCTGGAAGACACACACACGCACACATTATACACAATTTACATCTGGAAAGGGCGTATATAAAAATGTGAGGCTCAGGAAATTAAAGTTTTACACAGTTTTCCATCTCTTTAAGATCTGGAATATATAAAAATGCTAAGGGAACGTGTAATCATGACAGCAGTGAATGAATTATATAAATTCCTACGTCGTTATAGAGCCTGAAGGCCTTCTTGAGTTGTCCAGCTCGACCAAAGCCTCCTATCAGGACAGTGTAGTTGTACTCCTGCGGCTTCAGCCTCTCCCCCTGCAGCATGTCTTTGCTGAACATATCCAAGGCCTCCTGCAGCTGAGGGAGGACACATAAGGTTTATACACTAAAGCGACACCAGAAGACCAGAACAAGACTGCTCAGGAAGGGACCAACCTTGTTCTCTTTGATCAGATTCTTGCACTGTAAGAAGTACCAGTACGGCGTGTTTTTACCCCCACCGGGCCTCCTGCGTGGTATTACCGGGTCCTCCTCCTCCTCCTCCTCCTCATGCTGCTTCGCATCCTGGATGCCTGGGCTGGTTTTCCTGAACAACCTCCTGGAGGAAATGTCGCTGGAAAGGGAGCCGAAGTTCTCCCCGTCTGGTGTGTGGTTCTCGGCTGACAGGGAGCCCCGAGGGTCGGTACCCCCATGGGAAGCAGATCTAACGATTAGCCCCCTTGGCAGCTGCCAGAGAGCCGGTGTGAGGAGCCTGGGTGACCGGTGTGGTGACAAATGTTGTACCGCTGTCAGATTCAGGGCTCTGGTCGTTGAAGCCGTTGACAACAGGGACAACTTAGCAACGGGTACCGAGACTTTTCTCCCGTTTCGGACGCACGAACAGGCGACAGACGTTAACATATTTAGTTTTTTTTTAGATCGAGTTAACTACTAACTACTAATTATTAATTAACATGACTTTACTTCCAGTTTCCAGAAAACCAGACGGTTAATCAAACTCACGTCGCTAGCTTTGGTAGCTCCTGGCATGTTGTGTACAGCACGATGTTTCAATGACACACTACCTGACCTACCAGACCTGAATAGTAGATACCGAACAAGAAATATATTTTTTTAAAAAGCACCCTGTCTGGGGCTTTGGTCCGTAAGTGAATTAACAAAAATATTGAGTTTAAAAATATCACTATTTATTACTAGGTTACATACATTGTTGAAAAAAAAAAAAGCTTAATCTATTCTGGATAGGACGTCCCATTACTATCGACTACCTCGGTGATAGATTAGTATGCCTGTGCTGTTTGCTGGATGGAATCAGGGTCAGGATCACTTTTATTGGCCAGGTATGTGCACACATACAAGGGATTTGACTCATACGCAATGCACATACACAGAATAAGCATAAATAAACAAGGACAAGCTCAACACAATAGATGTAAACTACTATATACATATAAACAAACAGAAAACACTAACATTTGTGGACAGAAGTAATGGTGCAGAGTGCAAAGGATGCTGAAATAGACATTTACGTGCAGGTTTCTTTATGTTCATGAGGTAGGTGGATATACCAGTATATACAATATGCACAGTATGGGTATATGTAAAGCTGCAGTGGGTAATTTTTCTAAAAATATATTTTTTGTCATATTTGTTGAAATTTCCACTCTATCCTGACAGCAGTACATGAGACAGATAATCTGCATTTGCAAGAATAATCCAGGTCTGGATGGGGGAAAAAAAACAATCAGAGCCGAAGCAAATCTATAAATGAACTAATTCACACACATAAAGGGCAGCTGAACTAAATATCAATAAATAAATCAGGCAATACAATATAACTCAGCCATATAACACTTATCTTAGCAAGGGGCTTCAGAGTTTTGAGAATTGGGCTTGAGTCTATTGGCATATCTACTTCTTGCATCAGTTGAGTTCTACATTTATTTTTGTAAATACTGGAGTAAAATTACTTCTCCTAATGTTCCTGAACATACAAGAACACTCACAACTGAGATGGAGTCATAAATCTCTTTAATATTGTTGAATTTGTTGGTTTTAACAACTTCAGGGGTTTGTTTTTGATACTTTTAAAGTCGGTATCTTTAAATATGTATGTGCTTTTAACCGAAAAAGGGAGTTCAATAAAGCATAACATTAAATAAGGGAGTATTTTCCTATCAAAATGAAATCCTGCGTGGAGGATTCTTTTAATCACCAGTTAAACAATTGTGTGCAAAAGTAGAATTTCCAGGACGAAGATAACAGAACAGTTAAGTGAATAAACATCATGTGGAAAAAAAAGAGGTGTTTTACATTAAAGTGGGACTCTTGGCCTGTTTAGTGCCCTGCAAGTACTACTACGTCCCAAAAACTAAGTCAGGAAAAAGGTTAACAAAAAGAATCACAAATGACTCAGAAACATTTAATACTGCTTTCTACAGGCCTCAGATTCTGAACGAGACCAGGAGGTTGTGTCCAACAACACGCCTGCTCCTGGTACACTGCAGACACCCAACAAACTGGACTGGACTTTGTCCCATTAAAACATATCAGTATTATCATTTCATTCAGTGGTATAATTTATACATTTCTTATACCATAATCATTTGGTCTTCTCACATCATTTCATCATTTTACAAATGTCTTTGAGAGTGATATTCTGTCATCCAACGAACAAAGAAAGCAAATAAGTGTAACTGTGGGGAGTGTGTAACCAACAACAGTACATTACCTGTGTGATAATTAAAAAAACAGTACGACACAAACAGAGAAATGGTACACAGACAAGAATTTAAAATAATTCATTTAGACTTTATTACAACATCATTTGTTTTAGGTCGTCTATACAAAGTTTCTGAACCAACACATCCCTAATTTATATTTTTGGCACTTATTTTTTTTAAAGTAGCAGAGTGGTGTAGGAACAGAAATTATTTTTGCCCTTAAAAGCACAATTGAGGTCCCAATGGCACCAAATGTGAAATGTCCTGGAACAAATAAAGTCAAACTCCAGCCTCAGAAAGCATGAAGACCATCATTACTCATGAGTCATGTTAATGTAAACAATCTTGGTGGATGTATTGTTGTAAAGCAGCCTGAAACTGTTTTTGTCTTTTATGTAACGAATCACACAATCAGAAATCACTGAGCAGCTGACAGTCAGTCTTTCTTCCATGAATTTTATTTCCTGCTGAGAAAAAAAACGCAGACTGAGCACCAATCACGCTAAAGCTTCCTGGTGATGTCACAATGATGATAAATGTGGTGGTTGGGCCACGTGGCTCTGGAACAAAGTTATCCGATCCAGCAGTGTTAGTGGGATGTCTCTGATGACTGAAGGCAGGTCTTCATGCTGTAATGGATAGATGACCACACTCAGGGCCGAGCGGTCATATGTGAATCTAACAGAGGGAAGACATAAGAAAAGGTGAATTTGAGTTTTCTCGTAGTTTAATGTGACGTACATGTCCTCACACACACACACACACACACACACACACACACACTGACCTGTCCAGCAGAGTTTTCTGCAGTGTGCGGCAAGCCACCAAGGTGCCGCCCATGAACATGTGGCACATGATGACATGGCGGCACCGCTCCATGAATGTTTCTGTGGCAGCGGCGTCAAAGGTACCGCTGCGTGAGATAAGGCAGAGGCGCTGCAGACGAGAGCAGCAGGACAGAGCCTCGAAGAATGACACGTTGGCATTCAGGTAGGGCTGCTCCAACCTAAACGCACAAACACACAATGTTCAATAAACGACAAAAACAACAACAAGCTGAGCAAAGATGTGAATTCAGTCCATGACATTTAATTAGACTAACTGGTGTACGGCCCCATATTGTGTAGTGAGTGTAAGGCACCACCTTTCATGAAAAACAACAAACACACCACAAGGTAAAAGTGAATGTGTGGTTTGTGTGTTAGGTGGATTCCATAATTATCAGAAAAACAAACTGCTAATTAAAAATGTTCACAACAGGTTTTGTATTTCTAAAACAAATAAAATAAACCAAACACATTACTTTGCATCATACTTAAAGACAGTTAGCTCAGCATTTAATGGTTCTTAATCTACTCAAGACCCTGATAAGAAAAAAATATTAAGATTTCATTATTAGTTCAATTAATAATTAGATATTATTATCAAATAATAGCAAATGCTTTTATTGAAAGGAAGAAAAAAATAATAATTCTGACTCTACCATCTGTCTGACGGTTCGTGTTTAGTATTACAGTAAATGAACAAAAGCATCTACTAACCTGAGTTCCTGTAGCTGTGTACACTGTCTAAGTGCATCCAGCAAGGCAGGAGTGTAGTTCATGGTTTTTAGTGATCCCATGTTGGCAAGGGATAATACCCGTAGGTCTTCGCAGTGCTTGGCCAGCTGTACCAGCCCTGTACCCCTAAGGACTCCCGGAAGCCCAGCCAGAGTCAGGCGGCGTAATCGAGGCAAAGCCTCAAGCGCCGCTATGTGTGCATCGCCAACTCCTCGCGCCCATGTGCACATACCGCGAGGCTCTACACTGGCGCGACTGCAAGGCTCAAGCCGAGGCAGCACAGAGACAAAACCTGGACCAATGACCTCTAAGGTCTCTAAAAGAGGGCAGCCAGCTAAAAGCTGAGCGAGCCCCGAGGTGCTGTCCCCTGCCAGAGAAGACTCTGTCTCAGGCTTGTAGTTCTGGAGGCCCACACGTGGAATCTTCTTTAACCCCAGGAACAACGCAGAGGGAGATGTGTTTTGAGAGATTTGATGTGTGTTTAAGCCATCTGCCAGAGCACAGGCAGGCAGAGTGAGAGAGCGCAGTTGTTTGAATTTGGCCAAACTGGCACACAGGTGTGTTTCTCCACCTAGCCCTGCTGAGTTTTCATGATGATAGTGTGTGTGCATCAGGTTCAGGTATTTAATGTTGGGACAGCCAACAGCCAACCGGCTCATCGTCCCAGGAACCAGCTGGTCTTCCACACTCCTACACTCCGAGTAAAGGACCTGATTGATCCCGCTAAGGTTCAGGCTGATCAGCTGTGTGGAATCTTTCACTCCTCCCTCCAGCAACGACTGGAACACCTGTGGCCACAGCGCTGGGCAGCGGCTAAAGCTGAGGTGTTTGGGACTGTTTCCCTCCAGGGCTTGCTTTAGGGACAAGGAATCGAGCCAGGACCGAGGGAGCTGCAGGGCCTCCAGGTCACCTCGCTGACCCAAGCTCTTGGCTAGTGAGGGAGCAGCAGGCCAGTGAGCAGGGTTTGGGCCAGGAATCGACACGAGGAAAACTCTGAGACGCTTTGGAACATGAACGCTGAACACTGCCAGGTAGAGCAGGAGCAGGGTCTGGTTTACCTAAGGACAACAACGCACAGATACACTAGTTAAATACTGCACACTACTACGGTGTATACTGCAGATATATACTGTATGTGAACATATTACATGTACATGCACACTAACAAACTCACCTCTCCTGGAGCCAGCCTGGCAGTGAACTCTTCCAGCTGCTGGTAATGTGGCACACTGCTCTGGCCCACCATTAACTGACAGCACACACCGACACCCTCTCTGGTAACATCTGAGATGTCAAACTGCAGCATCAACCTGCAATGCAGAGACACAGACACACACATTCAACACGGTAGCAGCAAACTAGTAACATACTCAACAACTTCCAAATTTGTGGATTTTGTTCTAGATGGTGAAGCACTGTTTGTATTTAAGCCTTAAGGACAACTATGTCAGTCAGTCCACCTCTTTGGTCTAGAGTGAAATATTTCAACAACTATTGGATGGACTGAAATTTTATAAAGACATTCATGGTCCCCAGAGGATAAATTCTAAGGCTGCATGATCTGGTAAAAACATCATATTGCAGTTATTTTAAACAGATATTGCATTTGCAATATGATTCACGATTAGTGTGGGAATGATCATTCTTGCATCACAAATTTAATTTTCACTGAAAAACGATTAAAATGACGACGACGCAAAATTTGTTGGGGTCTGTACCAAACAAACATGTTTTCTTGCAATTGGAGAACACAATTTGTAGGCCAGGGCATCTCTTCAGAACTACAGTACTTCATTATAACACACCAAACACAACACAAAAGGTCTATTGCCCTGTCAAATAGGGGGTGACTCTGGTCACAGGTCTCATGTTAAAACCTCAGTAATCTACCACATTCTTACTTGCGGAGTTTGGCGCAGCACGGCACCACACCATAACTCGGTGTCAACAGTGTCTGTCTGAGCTCCGACAGGCGGCTCAGTGAATCCACCGCCTCTGAACTGAGCATAGCAGAGGTGAAGCCTGGTGTCACATCAAAAGCAAGTGATCTGAGCTGAGAGAGGGAGGAGAGGATACGAGAGAGACGAGTGGAAGACAGGCGACAGCCAGTGACATCGAGGTGCGTCACTCCTCTGCAGCGAGAAAGACGCTCCACTATGGCACCATTCAGCCAGTAGCAACCATTCAGGCTGATAGACTGCACGTGGTTGGCGAGCTGCGTCAGTATGTACCGAACCAACAGATCGTCAGCCTGAAGGAGGAAGAAGAACAATTTTTATTAACAATTTCCATCTGTTAAAAAGCGTTGTTCACGTATTTGTTAAAATATGCTAAAATATCCCAAAAGATCTTCACTGAAACAATCTTGCTTTATCAGTTCAAATGATAAAATGTATTTTTAACAGCTTTACCAGATACTCCTCAGACAGGCTGACGTTTGAGAGCAGGGACTTATCATAGCACAGCGTGTGTAACTTCTGGCAGACGTTTGCCACATTCATCACCAGGTCACACACGGGGACGTGGCGGAGGATGCACAGCAGGATCTCATCTGACAAATCTGACATTCCCACCGTGTTAGAAGACATTATGTCCTCATCGCGTACAGCCTGTGATGGTAAGCAAACAGTGATGCAGGTTAGGTGCTTTTAAACCCTCTGTGCATTCAGTCAACCTTTGGAAATAATTACCAAGACGGCCAAGAAGATAAATGTGTGGTACTTACTAATTCTTGGTGTTTTGTTATTGAGGTTCAACACAGAGAAAGAAGCTGTTATCAAGAGACTAGATAATGTCTGTGTGACATATTTATACCATGAGATGGTCCTTTTGTGTCTGCTTTTATTAGGCTATTGGAGACAATGCTGCAAATAAATGAGCACAACTGCTTTATAGCCAAATGGGATTATTATATACATTTTGCATCAGTTAGGTATTTGTCAAGTATTTAATTTCCCAAACTCAGATATACCTTGCTGATAAATATGACGATAATATGGACATTACAATATAAAATTAGATAGTGATAGACGGCTTTATCCATATCCCTCACTCTCAGTCTTAATTATAAGCATTATAGTTGAAGCAATATTAAATGCAAACACATATTGTAGTGCAACATATTTATTAGGTGACACCTTTACAACGCTACATTAACAGAATAGAAAGCAACATACAAAAGTGCATGAACTAGGGCTGCACAATGAATCACAATATTATGGAAAGTGGCCAAGTGAAATATCCAAATTGCAAGAAGCTGCAGTTTTTACGATAAAGGTAAAATGTGGTGTCAAACGAGCATTATAATAAAGCACTGTGGTGCTGCTCTCTTGTTGTCCAGATGTAAGAAAACATCACAATTTTAAACTCTTTTGTTTGTTCAGTTTAAATTAAAACTGTGATTGCAAAAATGATAATTCCCCCTAATCGTGAATCATATATTTAATTCGCAGTATGAGTCAAAATAATCTCAACATGCTTTCATCGTGCAGCCCTAGCGTGAACACATGAATGTCACTGAAGTGTCTGTATTTTTTTTGCTCCTCAAAGGTTTGAAAAAGAAAGAGACACCAAAGCACCCTTCGTGTCTACTAACCAAACTAGGTTGAAAAAAGTTAGTCGAGATTAAAGTGAAGCCTCGTCTAACTGAACGTTAACTTGGTGTTAACGTTAGCTAGCTACGTTAGTTCGGTTGGTTGCTCCACGTTACCGTTACCAACGTTACTAACTATTAATCGGTGTAACCGTCGCAGTTTGTCGGTTAACACACCTGGATAATTTGTCGATCCATGTCCTCTGAAATCCCTCTCACGGTGCCACTCATGATCAGCAAGTTTTCAGATGTTCACCCAGCCAGCGATTCATGTTTCGATGAATCCGCTTTACATTGAACTAACTGCACCGGTTGAACGTCCAACCCTGGACCGGGCGGACTACTTCAGCTGCCGCACAACGACGGAAGACTGTCAGTGACGGACATACTTCCTGTCGGTCCAATCCGTTTTTTTTTTTATATAATAATAATAATAATAATAATAATAATAATAATAATAATAATAATAATTATAATAATAATAATGATAATAATACTAATAATGATAATAGTAATAATTATAATAATAATAATAATGATAATAATAATAATAATGATAATAGTAATAATAATAATAATAATAATAATAATAATGATAATGATAATGATAATAATAATAATAATTATAATAATAATAATGATAATAATAATAATAATAATAATAATAATAATAATAATGATAATAAAAATAATAATACTCAAAAAAGTACAGGACTCCATAATAAACGCCAGTAAATATAATTTATATATTATTTAATATAATTATTGATGTATAAGCAGGGTTTGGAGAAAAAAATAAAACAAAGTATTCCGATACAATTACTAATAACCTGTTTTTAGAAAAACAAATGTAGCCAGTAAACTAATCCAAGTATTACAGTATTAAAGTAACGTAACTTAAAAACAGGAGAAAATAAATATCAATAAGAAGTATTGATTTAACCTATAAAGAACAGAACAATGTAACCCTTGAGAGGAAAATGGAAAGATTTTTAACTTTAACTGTACAGTTCTTTGCTCGTTTATTTTTAAAGAAAAACAGAGGTATTTTAAAATTGTAATCTGCTAATAATCCATATTTTTACAGTAATGGATTACAATTACCTTGTTTTGTAGCCTGGCTATAAAACTCTATCTAATCTATTACTCTTGACCCAGAGCCTGTTTGTAAGTAATAATAATAATAATAATAATAATAATAATAATAATAGCAAAGAGAAGGAGGAGTTGAAGAAGTTCCTGTGACCTAAAAGTACCAGTATTAATGTAATTACAGATTTTTCGTTCCTGCAGGATTTAATTTAAGCTACAATTAAATCAGTGGTTGGTCAGATCTTTCACTCAGTAAAAGCAACAGTTACACCTCAGGATAAAATGACTCCACTATAAGAAAAGGTCTTGCAATGAAAAAGTAAAAGTACGAGCAGGAAAATGTAGGAAAAGTAAAAGTACTCAGAAGAGATGATTGGATAGAGCAGCAGTTCCCACTGGGGGTCGCCACACCTTCATTTTAAGGATTTTAAGGGGTAAAAGATAAAATATATATACACATAACTACTGAGATAGGCCTATATCTTAGCATTTATGTGAAGAAAACTAAACGAAATTACTATTTTTAAAGTTTAGATCATTATTTAAGATCTAAACTTTGAAGAGCTGAACACACAGAGTATATTCACAGAGCTTTTACTCTCTGATAAACAACTAAAGAGCTAAGAAACAATGAGAAGACACTGAAATCTGTAAACACAGAAGCCTATTAAGTACATATGATTGGTATGATTAAATTGATTAAAAAGTACATAATACAGACAGAAAATTGTTTAAAAATATTAGGAAAACTCATCTCTGATCAATATTCACAGGAAATTATCTGTTCAGAATTCATACCAATCTCTAATTTTACACAAACTTCCTAAAAATGTCCATAAAATACGTCACTCAGGGCTCGTCAGTTTACTCAATGATAAATAAAAAAAGGGACCCTTAAAGAAACAGGTTGGGAACCACTGGAATAAAGAACAAAGGAGGACTAGAGCACACTGATTCATTTGCCTTTAATTGCATTTTGACTCTGATGAACTGAACTGAGAAGCACCTGCTGCTGGAAGAGGTCTGGAGAACCCTGTTTCAATTATATATATATATATATATATATATTTAATTTATCGCATGCATTACTGAGTACGTAGCATTTTATGTTATAGGTAGTCAAAATGAAGATATTTTTAACTACTTTTTATACTTTTGATAGTTCAACATCATACTTTATAAACTGTACAGTTCTTCAGTAAATATAACGAGCTCCACCACTGGGTTTTTGGTTAATTTATATGGCCAAAATCAAATTTAGCAAAGATAATTAAAAGGTTTCAAGCCTGTTGCATGCTGCTTATTTTTGTGAATATATACGGACTGTTTGGGTTCTTAAATTCTGACAGAAAAATTATCCAGCACATAACACAACACTGAGGAACCAAACTAGTTCATATAAAAAAGTTAAAGTAAACAATGCAATCAAGATCATGAAATTATAAAAAAGGTTTTATTGAAATCAAGTTTCCAATTTTCTTAATATATGAATTCTACAAAGTTACTGATGCTAATTGACGTATCTGAATTATATTTACAGCTCATTCTGTAGTTGTCCACTTGATGGCACTATAATAAAAGGTTTATAGAAAAATATCAGTCTTTAGAGTTCACTGTCCCACTCCTGACCCAGAGGCTTGACATGTGACTTTAAGTTTGCAGTTGAATTATGTCACCTGATGGTTTCCAATGTTGACAAGTTCGCAGGATGGATGAGAAAAGTTCAAATATCCGTTTTCATTTAACGTCAACATTGTTCAATAACTGTTAACCTGAAAGACATATTGACATTTGTGGCATTTCTTTTTTTTTGTTTTAAGTCTTCATTTAGTTTGATCATACTTGGTTGAGAGAGCCTCTCCTGTTATTATTTAAATGAGACATTAAACTCATCCTTAGTTTAGGCCCTTTTCACAACACCTGCTTTATTCTATTCAAGTGTCCCAGTGAGGCCTCAGGACCCTGAAACGGAAGCAGTTAAATATAATTTATCCAACATTAATTTAATTTCCCCCTGTGAGTTTTGTACATGTCAAAATTTCTTAAGTGACATTTTCAGAGTGTAAAGCAACATGTAATATAAAATCTTGGAATGAGTAAAATGTTTCTTTTAAAATGTCTTTGAGATGAATAAAGACCAAGTACCCAGACCAGAATCTCAGACATGTGCACTTTATTGGGTTGTTGTGTACACCAGAGGCTTGAAGCCCCAAGCACAAACCTTCATACAAGGTAGAAGCTTTGTCTTTTGCATAATGACAAAAACAAACTGGACCAAGTATTGTTTAAGGCTGAAAGTACAAAAACAAAACAAGTTTCAGATTACATAATTTACATAATAAGCAATACTACAGGTCTGTTGGGCAGTGGGCCCAACCAGAGAATAAACCTTCATAGAGGCAAATAAGGTGGTGAACAAACACATCTGGAATGACCTACACAAACACGACAATGGACATCATGTTCCTCACACATTCACACCGCCTGGGACGCGCTCTGTACTTCCTGCAGAGTTTCTCCCCATCAGGGGGCATGGTGCCATAGCCATAGTGATGAGGGAAAATGGGAAGAGGTGTTGTGGGCTCAGCATACACCAGTGTGTTGGTGTAGGCATGTATGCAGAGCCAGTCGTTTGGACTTGTAGCAGTGTGTTTTGGGGGAGGGGGCTGACAGTCTGTTTAGAAGCACTTCCTGTGGACAATGCTGGGGCCGGACTCATCGTACTCCTGCTTGCTGATCCACATCTGCTGGAAGGTGGACAGGGAGGCCAGGATGGAGCCACCGATCCATACAGAGTACTTCCTCTCTGGGGGAGCAATGATCTGCAGGGAGAAAGACGGGGAGAAGGGTATTAAACCACTGAAGTCAAGCCACATGAGTGCCCTCCTATAGTTAAATGTAGTGGAAGCTAAAAGACCAGCAAGCGACTGAATGCATCAACCATGTTTGTCCACTGGGTGGCAGTAGAGGTAAAGAGCTTTCTGGAACATCTTTTGCATCATTGCTTCAGGGAGGATGATGAGAGTCTGAGAAATGAGGAGTTTTACCTTAATCTTCATGGTGGTGGGTGCCAGGGCAGTGATTTCCTTCTGCATACGGTCAGCAATGCCTGGGTACATGGTGGTACCTCCAGACAGCACAGTGTTGGCGTACAGGTCCTTACGGATGTCCACGTCACACTTCATGATGCTGTTGAAGGTAGTTTCATGGATACCGCAAGACTCCATACCTGTTAAAGAGGGTAAAAAGTTATTCTTTTTGTTCTATATACTTCAAAATCAGGCCCAATTTTTGCTGCTACAACCCCTGTGTGTCCCAACAATTTAACTCCCATATATATATATATATATATATATATATATATATATATATATATATATATATATATATATATATATATATATATATATATATATATATATATATATATATCAAACTCAATCTAGAAGTATCCTTCAGCCAGTACACTGATTGAAATAGATTTCTGCCTTAAAGAAGTGGTGGTTTTCCTGACTGCACTTACCGAGGAAAGAGGGCTGGAAGAGGGCCTCAGGGCAACGGAACCTCTCATTTCCGATGGTGATGACCTGTCCGTCAGGAAGCTCGTAGCTCTTCTCCAGGGATGAAGAGGAAGCAGCAGTGCCCATTTCCTGCTCAAAGTCCAGTGCAACATAACACAGCTTCTCCTTAATGTCACGCACGATTTCACGCTCAGCTGTAAGACGAGGAAAGACATTTTAGAGTCAGTTTTTATAATTTCCCTAGCATCAATTATTAACTTGTTTTGGAGTCAGTGTTTGTGTACCAACCTGTGGTAGTGAAGCTGTAACCCCTCTCAGTCAGGATCTTCATGAGGTAGTCTGTGAGGTCCCTGCCAGCCAGGTCCAACCTGAGGATGGCATGGGGCAGGGCGTAGCCTTCATAGATGGGCACTGTGTGAGTAACACCATCACCAGAGTCCATCACAATACCAGTGGTACGACCAGAAGCATACAGGGACAGCACAGCCTGGATGGCCACGTACATGGCAGGGGTGTTGAAGGTCTCAAACATGATCTGGAGGAGAGAGGAGACGAGATATGAGTCATTGCATCAATGAGTCAAAGTAACCTGAAGTACGCTAGAATGGGTTAGTACAGTCAGATCAAGAAAAGCACAGCACACTGGCCAGTTTTGTTTTGAGTAGAAACACCATACTAAACACAGTCATTCTAATAATCTGTACTTTTAGTTTGGTCATATTGACTGTGCATGTTG